ACAAACAATGAAACTGTCAGAGTTGAGGAGCGGTAGTGTGACGAATTTGAGAGATGGAAGGCTGGAAAAATTCGGGAATTCGGGTTCCAATTGCTGATCAGAGAAAATAACTTGTAGGTCGATTGGAATCTTTGCTATATTGTTTATCCTAATGCGGGAGAGGGCGTCTGCAACGACGTTTTCAGACCCTCCGATGTAGCGTATGTAAGTTGTAAACTGAGCAATGAAATCTAGATGTCGGTTCTCTCGCGGTGAGTGTTTGTCTTGAGAAGTTTTCTAGGCAAAAACGAGGGGTTTATGGTCCGTGTATATAGTGAAGTTTCTTCCTTCGAGTATGTATCGAAAATGATCGACCGCTAAATAGATGGCCAGGAGCTCTCTACCAAAGGTGCTGTAGCGGGTTTGTGCGGGTTGCAGTTTGCGAGAGAAGAAACAGAGGGTTTGAATGCTGTCATTCACTACCTGCTGAAGGATCGCACCAACAGAGGTCTGTGATGCGTCCGTTTTTAGTATGAGTCGGCAATCAGGACCGGGGTTGAAGGCAGTAGTAGCTTGGTCATTGAATTGTAACCGTTTGCTGTTTGCTTTGAGCAGATCGGTTAGCGGTGCGAGGATCTCTGAGCAGTGTAGGATGAATCTGCCGTAATAGTTGACCATACCCAAAAATCGCCGGAGGATTCGTGTTGACTGAGGTAAGGGTAGTCCTAAATAGCAGTGGTATTATCTGGCAGCGGCCGGATTCCTTCGGATTTAACACAATGGCCGAGGAAGTCAAGCTGGTCTGCTGCGAAAACACTCTTATCTGGATTGATAGTGATACCATATTGTTGGAAACGTTCGAAGACGGCTTGTAAGTGTAATTTGTGTTCTTCGATAGTTTTGCTTGCCACCAACACGTCGTCAATGTAAGCGAAAACGTGGTCTAAACCATACAGTACCTGGTCTATGAAGCGTTGAAACGCTTGAGCGGCGTTCCGAAGACCGAAGGGCATGCGTGTGAATTCGAATAGACCAAAGGGTGTGGCAATCGCCATTTTGGGGATGTCGTTAAGGGCAACCGGTATATGGTAATACGCTCGGACGAGGTCGATTTTGGAGAAAATAGTCTTGCCCTGTAATTGCAGTGCAAAGTCGTGGATATGTGGTATTGGGTAGCGGTCGGGGCTTGTACGAAAATTGAGTGCTCGGTAGTAACCGCACGGTCGCCAATCACCAGTGGATTTCTTGGGGACCAAATGTAGAGGAGAAGCCCAACATGAGTTTGAAGGCCGGATGATTCCGAGTTGCAGCATATGGTCAAACTCAGCTTTGGCAATTCGCAGCTTCTCTGGGTGTAGTCGTCGCGGACGAGAGTGAACTGGAGGACTGGCGGTCGTTATGTGGTGCTCGACTTGATGCGGTACACTCGAGACCGAATATGAGGGCTTAAGCAAGCTTGGAAACTTTTTGATCAAATCGTCGAAAACCGGAATGTTTGAAGGAGGGGTGACGTGAATACTGAGTGGGTATGACGAAGCATCGACCTGGACTGGTGGAACGGAAAGCGACGTTAAAGAATCTAGAAGCTTATGCCGCTTAATATCGACGGCCAACGAGAAGTTGGTCAGGAAGTCCGCACCGATGATTGGGACCTGTACGTCGGCGACAGTGAAAATCCAAGGGAATGAACAGCGAAGGCCCAGGTCAAGCGTCAGTGACTTATGACCGAAAGTAGCTATGCGCGTGCCGTTAGCTGCCTGTAGTGTCGTTAGCGGGTTAGAAGTGTAGCGTTTCGAGTTTCCGGCAGGAATAACGCTAAGTTCTGCACCGGTGTCGACGAGGAACCGCATTCCGGTGGTTCTATCCGTAACGTAGTAGAGGCGACTAGGTGACTGGCCACTGGCAGCTGTCGCCACTACTGACTGGCCAGTGAGTTCCCCTGGTCAGGGGAGACGTAAGCACATGGAGGTGTGCAACGTAGAGCCTTGTCTTTGAATTTTGTGTGGTAATAGCAAAATCGGTTGGGATTCCGAGATGGAGAGGTCGGTTTACGTGAAACCGATCGGGACTTGCGTGACGTGTTAGTCCGCGCCGCTGTGGTGACTAGCTTGTTTACCGTGGCCACCAGTTGATCAATTTGCGCCTGCATTCGATCGAGACGTGCCATAACGGGGTTGCCGTTAGGCCGAATGGGCTGTTGTAAGGTTGAGGCTATCAAACGGTCGGCGAAGCATTCGTGGATCTTATCTGCCGTCTCAGCGAGTGACGACAGAGGGACATCTGACCGGGTAGCCAGAATTTGGCGAGTGCTTACGGGGAGACACTGCAGCCACAACTGCTTTAAAATTGCGTCGTAAAATGACTTACCGCATGCGAGGCTTTGCATGTGTCGTAGCAGTTGCGAAGGTGTGCGATCGCCCAGTTCGACCCCTGCAAGCAATTTTTGCAGATTCGCTTCGTCCGAGGTGGCTGTCCGTTTAATAATTGCTGCTTTTAGTGTGGTGTAGGGATTTGATGCAGGCATAGGATCAATCAGGTCAATAGCCTCCGCGGCAACCTATGTCGGGATTTGAGAAACCATGTAAGAAAACATGGTCTGCTGTGAGGTAATTCGGCGGAAATGGAAGTAACATACCAGCTGGATAAACCATACTCTAGGGTTACTGACTCCAAAGGCTAGCAGTTTTACGTGAACGGCGTTTTCAAACAACTCAGTGTTGAGTCCGTCTTCGTTAGACATGGTTGGAAAAAAATTATTGGACTAAGCGTATGCCTGAGAAATGTGGGAGTTCTGAGCTAGCAAGTAAAATAGAAAACAACAAAAGATGTTCGGGTTCACCAATTATGTAGTGGTTAACGGCTCTATATAAATCCCTAGTGGACAGAGAAAATTACTAATGTAAGCCAGATACAAAGTCACAAGGAGAAAAATCCAAGTAAATCTTGACTCACAGTTCAAAATAGGAGATTCCGTAGTTCCGTATTCCGTTGAACCACCATACCAAGAATAGTTTTATCTTCCTGTCCCAGATCTCCGGTGATCGAAATATTATTCCACAAGCGTGAATATATTAGTCCAGCGTTTGTAGCTGAAATGTTTGTTCACGTTTAGTGTTAGCAGCGGTCAATTATAGCCAACCGGCGGTCACAACATCAGTCACTCAGCAAAAGTCACGTTGGAGCCAACAAGCGGGCGGTAGCGGTTGTATTTCAGTAAAACAAACTTTTGTAGAGCGATGTGACTGATAATGATGGGAAAAAAAGATGATACTGAGCATGAAAAAGAGCAGTTTACAAGTGCTACAGTTATACTACCTAACTCCATTCTTGTCTCCAATACGTCTAGGGACACGGAATCCGATGGAAGGCAGTTGGTATACACATGAACACCTGAGGTAAACTACAAGAGTAATACCTGAATCTCCTATCCTAGGAGTTGATAATGCGCATGAGGTGCTTAGCTAACTGTGTTCTTCAATTACTGTCCTATAGGAGGGAGAGTTCAGATATAACAATAAACCAATCCGGGTGGCCTCAGTCATACTTAAGTAAACTACAGAGGTTTTTTCATCGATCATCAACCGCAACCAACCTTCCAACATGACTCACATTGCGGGAATTTGCTCGGATAGAAGGGTGAAACTAACAACACTTTATACAGCGCACACTGACAGACGTTTCCAACTGGGTGGCTCCGATTGAAACCAACTGATGTAGTGTACTAGGCGACTATCAGAGAGCTAGAGACATTGTGAATGAAAGAGATCCTGAAACGGGTGCGAGATAGAGTAACAAATAGGATCATCGTAACACACACAGATACGGTGCTTTAGCACGTATGTTGTTGTCTTGGTGGAGAAAATAGTCAACCCCCAGCACTACGAACCGGCCTGGTATCCACATCAGCAATTACAAAACACTGAAGAATCTTTCATCTCAATCACCCATGCTACTAAAGGATGCGCACTTAAGCTAATCTCTTGTGTGATTTTAGAACGGTACGAATAAGACGTTTTTACCATCATTTTGGAACTAGGGTATAATACTTCCAGTTGAATAATTTACAGACACGTTGAAAAGTTCAGCTGACTACGGATGCCACTGTGGAGGCGATTTGGGTCACTGCATAACCTCTGCGATTTTTGGGGTTGTTTTAGTAGCCAGTAAAACGTAATTGTCGAAAAATGTATTATCAAAAGATGTTCTTATTTTTCCTTGTAAGAAGGTCTGAGCTTTTAGGTGAAAGTTTACTGATCTAAACCATGCGAGGAAACATCGAAAACTTGTTGGTACATCAGATGGAAATACTAAAATTACAAACAGAAAGATGAAGTAACATTTCTAACCATGGGTCTTATCGTCTGGAAGAACTCTGGATCGTAGGTAGTATGATGACAAGGGAATTTCAAGTAATACTGCCTCGGTCTTCGTGTGCTTAGCCATATTACAGGTCGAAACCAGCTGTCCAACTAATTTCACTCAGTCGAGCAACAAAAAGGGGCATCGCTTGGGTGTAAAGGCTGTCTTAATGTACCCAAGCTGAAATGCATTCCCAAGCTTAACACCTCCACTAAGCTACCATTCTATACTTGTTTTGTTATTGAAGACTGCAGAAAGCGCCTGATGAAAAGAAAAGACAAATCCGAAATATCGCGAGAAATTGTTGCACTTTTTATATCTATATTCTGGTTTTTTCGGCTTGCGACATTTCAAGTTAATTTTAGTTAGCTTTAAATTCGGGCAGCAACTGCAGTTGTGAGACTATATACAGGTAATTTTGTCGAATATTTGCGTACAAGAAACTCAAACGACTTCAGCTGAATCTGTCTTTTATGATGTTTTTATTCAACTAATTCCGTTGCATAGCGCTGCCTCATTCTTCAGTTATTAGGATATTGTGGATAACGCACCATATGTTGGAGGGGCCCTGCCCATAAGGTTGCTGAAAACGCTTCGAAAGTTCACTGCCGGTTTTGCACTTTTTGTTGCTCAGCAGGTTGACGCAGTTACCGAGTTACCGACACATTGATGTTCTTCTTGGACCCGGATTTCGCCAAACCCACCGAATTGTTTCACTTGCACACTCATTTCGTTTTAACGTGACACCCAGTTGCATCTAACAGCATCTCTCGTTTACGGTGCTCTTCAACTGCGCTGCAAGAAGACCGCTTCTTTTTGTACGAGTTACGAGATATCGAAGTGCATCTTCCAGAAATAACACTTTGTCCATAATTTTAGTTCCCATGTAGTCTGGGCGCACTCGAGCAGGCAGGCATCCCTTATGGATACAAAACAAATCATTGAGGAATGCCAACACTTGCGATAGCTACCCTGAATCTCAGTGTGAAGAATGTTCAAGTTGGCCACATAAAAACACAGCCAAGCAAACCTGGTGACATTTCAGTGGATTTTCTGAATCCGTTTTATCGATTTTTTTCTGAGAGATCAACAACAGCATCTTTTTTCTCGCATTAGGTTCAGGTATTTGTCCTAGTTACGAAAGCACAGAAGCACTACAGAAATACGGACACCGACAAACACGGATTTTGCACGTTACTGATGGTAGGAGACCGACAAACGCCGCCAAGTATGTTTTTTATTTGGCGGTAAACGGATCACTGAGATGTTGGTGGGTACGCCATCATTCATCAAGTTAACTATATCTCACATTTCGATTGGCTACAAGTACAGTTTCGTTCAGTGGAATGTGAATTAATTTTCATCAACTCAATGTCTGGAATGTATACGATAAAGCTGATTGGGCACTGAAAAATCGTAACTACTCGGAAACGGTCCAGAAGTCCACACTAATCAGTGTGTCAGTCAAATGCATAGACAAAAAAACTGGTACATCATTTAGGAGGTAAAGACTAATACAATGAAGGGTTTAAATAGGTTGTTGCTCCATGTTATCCTCGTATAAATAACGAAGGGTTACTTCTTTTGAAATAGATGTCAACAGGGTATTCTCTACCTACCTTGTTCAACCACACTACATTCAGCACAAAAAATAAAACTCACATTTGGTGAAATACACTCATCTGCAAACTAATTTGGTTTTTCGAGAGACTCACCTAGAACCCAGCTGAATCTCTCGTTTTTAATGTTTTAATGTGCTACACCAGGTCGTCTCATGTTTCAGTCGCTACGATATTCGAGATATCGCGATACATGTATATTTGTAATGCACTACTAATAAAGTTACTGAAACTTCGTCGACGAACTTTGACTATAAATAAAGGACATCAGTGAGGTCGAAAAAACCGAGTTACGTTCACTTCCTACTTGCCTTTACCACTAACGTCTCTAGGAAAACTTGAAATCCGGTTGTAAACTAAAGGATTGCACGGCGAAGAAAGTTTAAAACCACTACCGAAGAAGGTAACCTGTCTCTAGAGGAGATCGGCAAATAACTCAAGCGATTTACCGGCCAGCTTGTAGCATCCCTCTCTTTTCTAAAGTGGATGTTGTGTCTACAAACCAATAAGCAGATTGTTTCTAATCGTCTACTGAAACGAAGACATTTTGATTGAATTTGAGCCTACTTTTCCTATCTCACTGCTATCCCATTAAAGTTAAACCATGTCATTGTGGCCGGAATGTAGATGTGCTTGAAGAGTGCAGTCATTACTTTGTGGTGTTAAGAATGCACGACATAAGATTTACTGTCTAACTGCTAAACGTATTCCGGCCACAATATATTTCTTCCCAGTGAAATCAGTCTTGCCTTGCAAACCGAGTTATTCTATGTTGAGAAGTTGAGAACACTGTAGAGCTGTTTCATCTTTGTTGAGAATCAACTGCAGTTCGCATTTCAAGAATTTCTAGGGGCTAGTGAAATATCGAGCTTTCGACTACATGTCTGTTCAGCAGTGTGAATAATTCAAACGCAGATAGTAAATAGCGCCAAAGAGTCCTTTAGTCGCGGAATTCACATCTTGTGGTTTCGTGTTGACTGTCTTCTCGTGTGACTAATCTTGGGATAGAAGTTTCATTCACCTTGCGAGATTATTTTTCCTCTGACCTACACAATAAAAATCTCTGAACTTTGATGAGGTGCGCACTGAAAATTATTTAAAATTCCCGGATCTCCTTATACTATCGATTTATCCGGTCGCTTGATTCATAGAGTAACTTTCATTTGGTAATTGACTTGCCTTGCATTTATCTACACATGTGATAAACCTTCAGCATGCAAATACCGACTGAGGAACATCTTTCCATTAAAGTACGGTAAAAGCTAGTGCATTTTACCGCGTAAATCAGGCCAAGTGGGTACATCTAACGGTTCGCACTTCAAGATAGGAATTCTGTAAAAAAACACTGGTTTGAGTCGTGTGGTCGAATTGACACGTAGGCCGCGTTTTCAAGCGTGCAAAATTATTGCTGCTGCACATATGTGGGTGTAGGTGCAAGTTTAGAACTCAGTGGCTTGCAGTGTGAAACCAACCGTTTGTCTGCAAGTCTCCTTTCTGTCTTTCAACTCAAGGCTAATGAACAAGCACACAAGGTTCTTAGATATTTCCAGAACTATGAGACACGTGTTTACGAAATGTT